ATGTTTGTGTTGTCTTTGTTGTTTATGCATGATAGCAGGGATGGTTTGTATTTTTTTTTTGGTTAGGTTCCTCACATGTTCTTAATGTCACTACTTACATTACAGGGCCAGAGAGCATGGGATTTGGAATTCTTCGTACACTTCACTTTGAAATGAATGATCCAAAGTTACTTTATCAGATATTGTAGATAGTATAGGGCACATTTGTTTGAGATAAGCGTGAGCACATTAGGTTAGTTGTATCCTAAAAATTACAGTACTTCTGAAATTAATACAGTTCCATACGTTGTCGGTAAATATGCGAGTCTTTGGAGAAAGCTGCCCGATAAAAGAAGAAATAGTCATATGTGTTGCCATGAATTTTGTCAACGTGTGCCACATCACGGTGAAGACCTAGCTGTTTTATTCATCAGGATGCCCTCACATTTTACTGTTGTTTCTTCTGTTCCTCATGGTAACCGTGCAGGTTGGTCTTGGTGCATACTCTGTCATTTTGTTTCTCCTGTTGCTTCTCTATACAAGCCTGCCTTGCTTCTCGTCGTTGCCATGTACGAGACCTCTGTCATGACATGTCTGCCATGCCGCTTCTGACCACTGGAAAATGATTTGGAAGAAGTGCCATCATATATGTTCAGTTGTCAAAACATGATATATGTGCATGGAAGCTTTGGAAACTTTTTTATTGCACGAAAAAAAAACAGATCCACTTAACTTACTTACATGTATGACTATCCTGTTCATAGCATGTTCTTACTGGAAGCAATTTTTTGGGATGTTGCATTAACATTTACTAACAGTAAAACGTCCCTGCTTTTGTCAGCAACAACAATCTTGATGGTTTGGCAATAATGTATGCTTTGGCATAACTTACTGAAACAAAACAAAAGGTCAATGCATGATCCAGTAAAAATAATGTGGTGGTACCAAGCTATATGAGGGATCATGCGGCTTCTACATTGATGTGATCTTTGTGATTTGTTATGCTCATTATCACTTCAAACAACCCTTCTCTATCTCAATCGTCATTCAATCTTGATCCATTACTGCTCTCGGTCTCGAGGGGTCGAGGATGCCCGGTGTGTCCCTCGAATGGCGGTGGCGCGGACCTACATCAGCCCCTTCATCACATCTCCTCCCACGAACAACGTCGATGGCCACCTATCTGCCACCTCCTTTCCCTCTTGCCCTCGCCCTTTCTAGCTCAGCAATGACCTCGGGTATGGTAACCATCCATGTGACCAACATTCGATTCCCTAATTTTACTCCCTTTTACGGCTGGGATAAGTGATTGATTGACAACCTCACTTGCTCCTATTGTGTGCAGGTCCAAGAACCCATAGAGGACTGCCTCACTCTGATCTTTTGGCTCATGAATGAATCAAACCTATTTGCACATGCAGGTTGAGTAGTTTGGGGTCTCGTTTTTTACCAAAGTATATATGCACATATAAACTTTTTGTAACCAATATCGTTCTTTGCATTCGTCTTGAATTGTATAGGTGGTGCAAAACAACACCGGCTGCAGGTGCGGTGCTGCCAAGCATGATCATGTCTTCCATAAAATTCAGGTCTCGCCCTCCTCCATGTGTAACTCTCTATCCTCTTCCGTGCGTCAAATGAGGCTGCAGGTTGTCTGGCCGCCTATTTAAATGTAGCTTATGTTTAGCGTTTGCACATTCTTGCGCAGTTTGTATAGTGAGGATCGATGCCGAGCTGGACCTTCTTGCCTTTTTTTTTTCCTTATCGATTCAGATATGCATCCTGCTCTTGTGTTAATTTTCAAACAACATTTGTGAGACCTCTTGACCTGTCCAATTTTGTAATGTCCTCTTTCTTGCTTAATCTAACGAGCCTGCATTATGCTATGCATATTGTTGCCATCTACTTCCCTGTCCTCTTTTTTTTTATTCGCGTTCTATTTTTAGAATAAAGACCAATCACGTCTGTGCATTATTCCTCCTTAGTCTGTAATCCATTTCACAAATCTATAGGTATTAGGATGTGTAAAATAGATATAAATGCGAACCACATGATTCAAGCTTGCATATGATACCTGCCTTACATCTCAGGTTGTAAAAGCGAAATGGAGGAAATGCGTCTCCATTTGACACAGTAAATTCAGATGCTCTCTGAAAATCACATGTCAATCAATAGGCGTTCTACTGAGCTGGTACAACATATGCATCCATTCGATGCTTTCAGCACCTCTTGTTGGTTATCAAGAGTTTGTGTAGCTTGACAACATCTAAATGGTCGTAAAGTTTTTTTATCTGCAAATTGATTGAAAAAGAATAGGCACAAAAGTGATATTCAGCGAGGCTACAAAAGATCTTGCCTACTTCATGCATACATACTTAATTTACATTTTACCTGAAATTTATTATATATCTATCCGCAACTTCTAGAAATTATCGGGACTACATGGCGCTAACTTTTACGATCTAATCACCTGCTATATCCTATAAGGTTTATGCGACATGACAACTTCTAGATGCTCCCAGGCTTCATCTCAGCTAAAAATTGTTCCAATCTAGTTCCTATTTCATCTCGCTTTGTGCATGCCTTACGGTGGTCTAAATGGTGGTGGTTCAATAATGGTGTTGCTGTCATTAGCTATCTTCAACATTTCTTGGCGAAATCTGATCTTGATCAAGTACCATCACACGATTAAAGAGAGGTACATTATCTGTTTTTCGTATTAAGGAAGGTGCATAATTAACAATTGCAACTACAAGTTCCTCAGCTATTTCAATTACGATGATCAACACAGACAAATTTATGTTGCATTCATTCTTTGATATGTACGCACGCATGCAAAGATTAAACATATTTTTTACTGCGCTTTGAACCAAATTGATTTCTTGACGCGATGGCGTATGCCGCGTGAGGTACCAGTATGTATAAAACATGCGAGTTGCGTGCTGTGACTGTGACGACGACGTTGACATGACATGCACAGCCACCGTTACCGTTGGTAACCAAGGTTGTGATGACGACCCGATCTGATCCACATGTGTCCCGTGCTATATATATACGATCCTATATAGAAGTGTATATATATTGCCGAAATGTAATCCATGTATTGATAAAAAAGTCCCAAAGTATTTGTGTATCTACTTCTGTCATTGTTCATGTAGAAAAACTTACTCTAGGTATATATATATATGTGTCACAATTCTCACCATGTATACAGAAAAGCGATAATCATATATCTTCATGTCCAACACAAACCCCAAGCTAAGGTTTCGCCTAAACATGTCAAATTCACATGGAGTTTCGATGCAAAGGGAAACACTATATGAATGGAAAATATATAGAATAATTGGTAAATAAAATCTATTATGACTAGGCAAAGACAAGAAAATATCTATACAAGTACCGTGTTAGAATGCAAACAGTTTAAACTTTAAAGAGAATAAAGGTAAGCCGTCTTTATTTGGCATTGGGGCCTAAATTTCTCTTAAGATTACTTTTTTTTCAAAAAAAAAAGAAATTACTAGACCATGCAGGAGCAGGAACCAATGAGGTAGTTTAAATTAAGGTGGCTTGGGAAAATGTGAATGAGTGCTCCCAAGTTTGTTTTCAACAAAAAAATGTATCAAAATCAATATCACTGGCTTTGATTTTTAACACCATACTATGAAATTTATATATAAAATATATACTTTGCAAAAGATCTGATAGAATCATGATCTTATAATCTGATCAAACCAAAAAATCCTAATAACTAGGATCCCCCGTACATCAAAATCCTACACATATTCCCCTCCATTTCAAATTATAACTCACTTTAGTTAATTTGTCATACACTGATTCACAAAACTTCTCTACGTTTGACAATTTTTTAGAAAAATATGATAGTATCGCTACAAGTTCAAATAAATGCATATCAGAATTCCATGAAGAATGTAATGAAACTACTTTGATATTATAGATATTGATTCATTAATCTAAAATATTAGTGAAACTTTAAAAAGTTTGAGTTAGCATAAACTCAAAGTGAACTATAATTTATAACAAACGGAGTAACCACTGAATGACAGCATCGGGCAATAACGTTATGTTTTTTCTCTCTCCTTTTTGAAAAAAAGGAATCGTTGATTTTTGTATTGATACCTTATCGTTACAATTTGTACAAAGCAATCTTGCTGAATGGATCGTTATTAATTGTCCTACTCCTGCCAAGATTGTTTTCTAACGTGCATGCTAACAACCTATATATTGCGTCATCCAACTAGTTCATGGTAGTGCGTTCTTCATGCTCCTGGCATATTTCTGTAGCCTCTTCAAGCCTTCTTTGGGAGAGGCTGCTTCGCCTAACTGTCTCACCATTGCACTGCCAATGATCACACCATCTGCACCCCACTCTGCAATCTGTCCATGTACAATATACTGTTAAGAATTTGTTATAAAATCTAGGAGTAAGTTTTTGAGACATTATAATTAGGGAGTGTTATAATTAAGTTTTCCTTTACCTGCTTTACATGCTCAGGTTTCGATATGCCAAAGCCAACAGCCACAGGTTTGTCAGTGAGCTGCAAACAAAAGCACAAGCCGCTAGCTCAGTGATTGGCACTAGTATTCATCTCGACAGTGAAGTCACGTCGTTGTCTGCCAGGTAACAAAAATGAATAAAAAATGGAATCTTTTCTTTTCCTTTTTCTTTGGCAAGATATATTGGCCTCGTTCGAACTTACTACTATATCCGGTTTATTCGAACTTTTTTTTTCAAAGAGCAGTTTTTTCTCTCACATATTTCAGTCGAACGGTGTTTTTCAGTAGAATTTCAGTAAAGATTCAGCAAGCGAAAACGGAACCATTATTACCTGTTTAACCTCCTGGATGAGAGATTCGACACGTGTGTTCACGTTTGCGCGTGGACCTGTAACTCCATTGACGCTCACCTGTGGTGCATGGGTCAAGTAGGATAGATGAGCATGCCATCATCAGCAAGTTCAGGCGCCAGCTAAACTCTGGACAGTCAGTTTGCCGTCACTTACGAGATACACGAATCCTTGTGAGGCTTTTGTGATCTCCTCCATCCTATCCGCTGGCGTAGATGGTGTCGTGAGCAGCACCAGCTCGAGGTTGTTCTTGATGGCTTCACTCCTGAGAGCACACGATGTCCCATACGGGAGATCAGGCACTAGGAGGCCGTGCACGCCGGCGTCCTTGACGGCGGCGGCGAAGTCAGGCAGGCCCCAGTGCACGATGGGGTTGAAGTAGGAGAAGAGCACCACCGGGCAGGACAGCTCCGGGGTCACTCCTTGAGCATCGCCAGGACAGCGTCCGGCGTGGTGCCGCTCCCCAGCGCCCGAGCCGCCGACGCCTGGATGACCGGCCCGTCGGCGTAGGGGTCCGAGAAGGGCACGCCGAGCTCGATGACGTCGGCGCCGCAGGCGTCCAGGAGCCGCAGCGCCTCCGCCGTCGTCGCCAGGTCCGGGTCGCCGGCGGTGATGTACGGGATGAACGCCGTCTGCAAGCACGGCACACCAGAGCTCAAGTCAGAACCCGTACATAGATACGCGCAAGACCAGGCTGGCTACATGCGTCTATATATATAGTATATACGTACCTTGCCCTGCTCCCTGAGCTTGGACATGGTCTGCGACACCGTCAGGCGGCGTCGTCCGCCGGCACCGGTGAGCTTGGCCGGCGCCGCCAGGGCAGCCGGAGCTACCCCGGCGACCGCCCTTACAGTGGCCACAGACCTCCGCCGCCCCGGCATGGCCACCCGCTTCGGGAGCGGCGACGATTGGACCGCCAGGGACGAAGACCACCGGGAGGTGGATGCAGCCTTGATCGCGGAGGCCATGTCTCTTTGTGTATATACGCGTACGTACTGTGGACTGTGGTTCGATGGATGGATCGGTTTATGGAGTTGGTTTATCCGCTACTGAGTTGGGAGCACAGCAAACTCGATCACTGTGGCTTCTCGCTAGCTACGATCGATCAGAGTTGTGTGCAAGTGCTCAGTTAGCTCCTTGCTCGAACGAACTCTGGTCTGGAACGCTGGCTGTAAGAGTAGGATCGGATGAGAATGAGATACTGGGATGCTGGTGGCCTGCCCAGTGCCCACAGTTTATATAGCAACAGCCGCAGCAGCAGCAGAGGAGGAGGCGACACCCAGTGACGAAGCTGAGGCAGCAGGAAGTTGCCAGCGTGAAACTGATAGATAGCTCGGGTCGTTTGCTACCTCCTCTCGTCACGTCATCGTGCAAAAAACGTGTGTGCGTGTGTGGTTTTACTGGTCCCATACTCAGCCCCGTGCATGTTCTGCTCTAGGGGCACCAGGTGCCTTCAGTGGTGAAAGCACAGTTTTCTTAAGAATTCCAGGCAATCTAGTTCATAGTCCTAGCTGCTACATCTTGTTCTACTGTACAGTACATGCTACGAATGACTAGTAGTTATATACTTCGTCGGTTACAAATTGTAAGTCAATTTGACTTTGTTCGTACATCTATTTTACTATGCATCTAGATATAATAATATGTCTAGATACATACCAAAATGGATGAACCAAAAAAGTTAAAAGCTACTTATAATTTGGAGCGGAGGAAGTACATATGATCATTCAATCAATTTTTTACCAGGAAAACTCCAAAAAAATTTACTAGGAAGTAGCAATACATGTGTCTATGGATCTGTCAGACCAAAAGACCAGCCTTTTAGTGCTTCGCCAAATTCAGTCTACTGATTGCCATATTTTATTACGCCATCTAACTAACTGATCCGGCTACCTATCAACACATCATGGCAGTTGGCGGGCACTCTTCATGCACCTGGCGTATTTCTCTAGCCGTTTGCACTGGGGCCGTTCTCTGGGAGAAGATTGGTTCGCCTAGCTGCCGTACCATCGCGTTGCCAATGATCACACCTTCACCCGGCCCCACTCTACAATCTTGCCTCCATGGACAATTTATATAGATGAAAAAAGTTATTAAAAAAATCAAAAACTATTTTTGATACAATAAGGTGGTAGTAACTTTTTTTTCCTTTTACCTGCTTTACATGTTGAGGTGTCATTGTCAATATGCCAAATCCAACGACCACAAGTTTGCCAGTGACCTGCTAGCAACACCCAGGTTTGTTGGCTATAAACACCCCAGAGTGGTTGGTTGCAATGATTGTTTTTGCATTGGATATGAGAGAATTGCCCAACGCCATGAAAAGGGCAATATAATACTTGGGGGCATGTGGATGTACCAACCATGATACTAGAAACTGTTGCATCTGAGGATTTGTGGATTTAGGATTATTTATTTGGTTTATCTAGCTCATTGAATACTATCAACATTCTTTACACATCTCCCCTTTTCCGGCGGTTAAATACTAGGACTTCAGCTTCGATGGAGTACATGGTGAAAGCAACAAAGTACAGCATGGGTACTATACTCTCTAGCAGGTGGGAAGCTACCAAAATCCACAGGGGAACAAGAAAGCTCATTTCACAACACCTCAGAAGCTATGACTGTGAAGAAGGATGTAGAGAGAGATTTGGAATTTTGCAAACTCGAATTTCTAGGTGAAGTAATCCCTGCTAGACTTTGAAACAAGAAAATCAACCTCTTGATACACATGGCAGTTATTGTGATGATGCACAACATGTGATGATATTGAGAATGAGTGAGATGTGGTAGATGACAGGGGCTATGGCTATAATCCGGATGGTGGCGATGTGCTAGGAGTGCCAACGTCTTAACCAATGGCGGAACTAGGGGGGTCAGTAGGGGCCGTGCCCCCCCCCCCCCTCCCAAAAAAAACAGTGAAAGGTTTTTTAGTATTCTTATTAATATTACAAATGTAGAAGCATATTTTACCATTTTAACTCATATTTTATCATAATATAGCGATTTTTTGTACATGGACCGAAAACAAAAGGAGATGGAGACATTAGATGGAAACCGTGTGATGACGACGACTCAGGGTTCAGGGAGCATATATAAAACATGCGAGTTGCGTGCTGTGACCGTGACGACGACGTTGACATGACATGCACAGCCACCGTTACCGTTAGTTTGTAAACCAGCTGGTTGGTAACCAAGGTTGTGATGACGACCCGATCTGATCCACATGTGTCCCGTGCTATATATATATATATATACGATCCTATATAGAAGTGTATATATATTGCCGAAATGTAATCCATATATCTCCTACAACTAAAAAGAAAGAAAGTAAGACCACCGTTTCGTGCGACAATCGTCGGTCCGCCCTTCCCCCTGCGACAAAAACGCGCTGTCAATCACGCGCGCTCCTTCCTTCCGTGCAAGCACGCAGCGATCGATCGAGATCCCTCAGCCTCATGGAAAACCACGCGCCGTCCCTACACCACCGCACGTCTCCGACTTTGGTCTCGCGGAAAACCACGCGCCGTCACTAGAATCTGATGATACTTAGTTGGTATCATAGATGTTATTATCTTATCATATAACTTTGGTCAAACTTAAGATGCTTTGACTTTTTAAGATTCTTGGAATGATTTATAATTTGGGATGAAGGGAGTAGTAGTAATACACAAATAGTACTGCCGTTTAATTTGCATTTATTTAATTTGTTGCTATGAAAAGGATGGACATATTGGAAGAAACCATGAGGACAACAAAACCACGTCAGGAGTCAGGACTTCTAGTGCGGACTTTTCAGCACGAGCATCAGCACAGTTTTCTTAAGAATTCCAGGCAATCTAGTTCATAGTCCTAGCTGCTACATCTTGTTCTACTGTACAGTACATGCTACGAATGACTAGTAGTTATATATTTCGTCCATTCTAAATTGTAAGCCATTTTAACTTTTTGGTACATCCATTTTACTATGTATCCAGATATAATAATATGTCTAGATACATACCAAAATGGATGAAAAAAAAAGATAAAAGCTACTATAATTTGGAGCGGAGGAAGTACATATGATCATTCAATCAAAATTTTTACCAGAAATCTCCAAAAAAAATTACTAGCAAGTAGCAATACATGTGTCTATGGATCTGTCAGACCAAAAGACCAGCCTTTTTAGTGCTTCGCCAAATTCAGTCTACTGATTGCCATATTTTATTACGCCATCTAACTAACTGATCCGGCTACCTATCAACACATCATGGCAGTTGGCAGGGCACTCTTCATGCACCTGGCGTATTTCTCTAGCCGTTTGCACTGGGGCCGTTCTCTGGGAGAAGATTGGTTCGCCTAGCTGCCGTACCATCGCGTTGCCAATGATCACACCTTCACCCGGCCCCACTCTACAATCTTGCCTCCATGGACAATTTATATAGATGATAAAAAGTTATTAAAAAAATCAAAAACTATTTTTGATACAATAAGGTGGTAGTAACTTTTTTTTCCTTTTACCTGCTTTACATGTTGAGGTGTCATTGTCAATATGCCAAATCCAACGACCACAAGTTTGCCAGTGACCTGCTAGCAACACCCAGGTTTGTTGGCTATAAACACCAGAGTGGTTGGTTGCAATGATTGTTTTTGCATTGGATATGAGAGAATTGCCCAACGCCATGAAAAGGGCAATATAATACTTGGGGGCATGTGGATGTACCAACCATGATACTAGAAACTGTTGCATCTGAGGATTTGTGGATTTAGGATTATTTATTTGGTTTATCTAGCTCATTGAATAATATCAACATTCTTTACACATCTCCCCTTTTCCGGCGGTTAAATACTGGGACTTCAGCTTCGATGGAGTACATGGTGAAAGCAACAAAGTACAGCATGGGTACTATACTCTCTAGCAGGTGGGAAGCTACCAAAATCCACAGGGGAACAAGAAAGCTCATTTCACAACACCTCAGAAGCTATGACTGTGAAGAAGGATGTAGAGAGAGATTTGGAATTTTGCAAACTCGAATTTCTAGGTGAAGTAATCCCTGCTAGACTTTGAAACAAGAAAATCAACCTCTTGATACACATGGCAGTTATTGTGATGATGCACAACATGTGATGATATTGAGAATGAGTGAGATGTGGTAGATGACAGGGGCTATGGCTATAATCCGGATGGTGGCGATGTGCTAGGAGTGCCAACGTCTTAACCAATGGCGGAACTAGGGGGGTCAGTAGGGGCCGTGCCCCCCCCCTCCCAAAAAAAACAGTGAAAGGTTTTTTAGTATTCTTATTAATATTACAAATGTAGAAGCATATTTTATCATAATATAGCGATTTTTTGTTATGAACGCTAACTATAAATGTAGAAGCATAGAAAAATATGTTGTGATGTATATATATATATATATATATATATTTATTTATTTATCACGTATACGAGGTGTCATCATGTTTGTCCGGTCCCTCTTAATCAAAGTTGCTAGTTCCGCCACTGGTCTTAACCCACTTTTCTTATCGAAGTTTCTTAGGATACATAAGGAGATTGATTGAAGACAGGCAAGTACACGATGGAAGGGTTCTAGAGGATTTTGTTGAACATCTTTCGTCCATTCATAACTCTAGCTACCTTGTTTTATTGATGTGGTGAACTTTTTCTTTAAAAATATAGTTGTGATGGGACACTTTATTTGTCTTCAGATGGTATTTTGTTTGAATTCGGTTTTACTTGTGGTATTTTAATTTGGATCGTTTGTACTAACTACTAACACTATAGTTTGAAATTGTAGTGTCAAAATAGATAGAATATATAGAGTATGTGAGGAAAAGAGAGAAGTAAGAGTAGAGACTTCCATTTGATAGTTATTTGTTGGAGTTGAATTAAAAAAACAAGTATATATGAATCACTGGCTCTGACGACACTGCCGAGCAAAAGTAACGACCCAACACTTGCTAGTTTGCAACACAGGCTGGGAGTATA